GAGAGAGAGAGAGAGAGAGAGAGAGAGAGAGAGAGAGAGAGAGACGCCAATTAGTTAGTATCCGTGGTATCCGCGCGAGAAAGAGAGACACAATTGACGGGACATACCCTTCATCTGCTTAATAACGATGGGTTTCTCGAAGCCGTTGTGCTGTATGTAAGCGATGGTGAACTGATCGCCGGTCATCTCCCGCACGAAGTCATACCGCGAGGCGTCGAACTTGTCTGACACCAGCTTCTCGTCCACATCGAAGGCACGGCCGGCGAAGTCGAAGTCAAAGTCCTCTTCATCGGCGTATTCCTCAGTATATCGACGCTTCTGAAGAGCCCTCTGTTTGCGGCGACCCATCCATTAGATCCCGAGAGACACATCCGTCAGACACCACAGACACACGCCATATAAGAGGATACAAATCGCGATTAACACGTGTTATGGCGAAGAATGGGAACAGCTTTGGGTGATAATGAAAACAATAACAAACCAGTCGTCGACCGGAGGCCTCCTTCGCGGCGGCGGAAGCGGTGGCCGTCTTTGGCAGCCGTTGTTGTCCATCACTCGACGACATCCCCAACACCTCCTCCTTCTCCTGTCTGTCCCTTCGGTGGATGTCTTCGTCGGCGGAACCGATCGCTTAAGAGATGTCTGTGTTTTGTTTGGTGTCAATCAAAACACAACGCGATTTAAAAAGTCAGACATTTTTATTATTGTTTGTGTTTTTTGTTGTGTTTTTGCATTCAATTCAATGCATTGCACATACAGTCCGACCCGTGTATAGCGTACGCTAGGGTTGGCTCATAAAGTAGGGGGCAATTAATGCAGCATTTTTTACACCCCTTTTCCCCTTTAAAACACGTGTTTTTAAGCGCATAGGTTTGCCTGTATTTACACCCCCTCTCCCCTTATTTATGCGGACGTTGTTTGTGTACAACCCGTTTAAGTTTAAACATTGTGTCTTATTGTGTGACTTAACTGTCGGACCCTTTTGTATATGAGATGGCGTTGCGCTCTATTAGGCGTAACGTGTTATCTATGGCATAGCGTTCCGCAGTTAACGTTACGATAGCAACGCTTTCAGTAGTAAAAGGGGACAAAACCGTTGTGTATTAACCGTACGAATAGCCCTCTCACTCAATAGTGCGAACCCACGCCTCCAACGCGCGTATCGTTGTCTTTGTTTTGCGCTTCTATACGCCTATGACTCACAATCGTGAGCCTACAGTCGACTCTGCGTATAATAAACGCGCGCTAAATATCTACCGTCTATACACGCCATATAAATTAACTTAGCGTAAAACTGGTTAAATATAGCGAAATTAATTAATACACTAACATAGCGTGCAATATAAGATGCGCGTACACTATAGGCACATGCGTTCACTATAACGGGCGGCTTACTGTAGGCTCGCTATGAAAAAAATATACACAAAATATTGTGCGAAACGATTATTATGTAAATACTGTAACGTATAGTACATTACGGGGAGAGAGCAGTGCATACACTGTACTCTCTATTACACACTCAGACTCGCAAATCGGAACGCGAATTGCGATACACACTGTAGTTATCGTCAGTTATAACGTGTGGTCTTTCAGTACAGTATGTATTGAAGTGATTGATTGAACGAGTGGTCAGTGTTTGGCTCTACAGTTAAATCAATGTTAAATACGGCGATTGTAATGCATTTGTAAACGTTATGTGAATCTCATGTGATGTATGCATAACAGTGTTAACCAGTGTTTATGTGATTATGTAATGACAGAAACAATTACTAATTGGCGTTCAATGAATACGTGTGACAAATGGTGTGTACGCTATGTATGTGCTGTAAATGCCATACATTTTAATGTAATTGTAATTTAAACAACAATTTGTATCAATTATTACACTTTTGTTACTGTTTTTAATGTTTAGTTTGTATTGTATTGTCGTTTCCGTTGACTGTAGTTATCGATAGACTGTTTGTGTTTGTGATTGAGTTTTTGTATTGACTTTTAACGTGTGTTTTGCTGTTTAAACCTAATTGTGATTTGCATTGAATATGTATTTTAATTGCATTTATATTTTAATTATACGTTACGATCGGTTAACGCATACAATAAGCCATTGATTGCAATACAAACCAAATGACAGCACAATTAGTATGTGTTTTGTATCGCAATATTGTAATCATATTTCAATGTAATTCATTAGCCATTGATAACAGCATTTCAATGATAAATGTGTTAATAATAAACACATAGTTTTAATCACACATTAGATTAGACGTTGAATTTGTTGAGCGATTTTCACCGTTAAGTCGATTGTTGTCTAAATTGTCCGCTAATTATCTGTCGATATATAAAAAGCAAAGACCAATCACTCACTCATCGCATGCCATGTCTTAAGAGGCCGTAACTCAAGAGTCACTATCGCTGTCACTGCAAACACATCCCAACCCTATCTATACTATCACTTGCAGTGCTTTTGTATGTTATCAGAGAAATAGCTATTTATCACATATTTTAAGCGATAGATAACAATAATTACAAGTTTTGTTTA